GATATCTAACCATGACATCTTCGGACCATTTCAGCTCAAACTGATTTACAGTTGTCTCTTTTAAAGAAATTTTCTAACTGCTACTTATATAAATGAATTAAGATGATAGTTAAGACACAAAAGCTTTTGGTCCACAGAGCTGCAGGTACACCAAAAGTTACTGTTGGAGTTGTTGGAGCTGGTACCGCATGTGTTTTTGAAAAAATTCAGCCGTCTCTGAGACAAAGCCTGAACGTGGCTTTTGCGCCATCAAAAGGTGTTTAAAGCTAGTTCCAGACTTTTACATTATGAATAACAACAGAGTTGAGATGTCCTGGTTGGAAAAGAAAGAAAAGCAAGTAACTTGAATTTGCGATCTCAGCTATTGGCAAGGTTTTGGCAGTTGAGCTACCGGATAACGGGAATCCAAGATGCACAGTTTTGTACCCTCCTTCAGCAAAAGCTAGCAATGAGATTGGTAAGCTCTGAACTTATACGTTACGTGCATTTCATCCCAAAAAATGCTGCTTTGCATATTTGAGAGTTGAACATAACCTCATGCTAACCTTGCTATTCTTATCTACATTGATTGATGTTCTCAGTTAACTTAAATTCAGATCTGGACATAATATGTAATTTAGAATTATGTTTAGCATGTACATATTCGTCACTTACTCATACATTGGTTGATTTTTTCTGTGGGAAGTTTACTGACTTTATTCTTCTCATCCTTCGATTGCGACTTTCCCATTATGTTACTTTACTCATCAGTTTCAAATGTGATTTTTGCTAATATATTTTTTATAATTAAATGAGTTTCAGAAGCGACTATCTAGTTAGGAAGCTAGAGTTTGTTATAAATCTCTGGTTCGCCTTTTAAGTTTTAAGTTAGTTTGAAGATTATTTATAACTCATGAGTAGATGCTAGAGTTTTATATGTGGCAAAAATACCTTAATTTTTAGTTTATTTATCCAAGCCCACTTTAATAGTAAATAAGAAAACTAAAAAAAAATGAAATTAATCGTACTTACAATTCTACACATCTCATTTCCAATATTCAAAAGAAATGCCCCACATGGCCACAAGTGCAGAACCGAGTAATGTCAATCACAAATTCTAAAAACAAAAGAAAAAACATGACAACATGATTAGTCTATTACAATATTTCTTGAACAAATTAAAGCAAACAAACTACTTAGAACAAATAACTATGAAATGCTGTGAAGTAAAAAAAATCTTCTTCATTATTCTCCAATACATGCTTTTCATCCGACTCAAAGTCAGTATCATTTTCATTAAGTTGTTTCTGTTCCTTGGATTCAAATTCTCTTCCTCAAGCTCACACTCTAGAACTATCATTATAACTTCAATAGAACTTTCGGTTCGGTTTTCGGAACTGTTTGGAATTTTCCGAGTCCCATGCTCAGCCCTAGTTCCAACACATATCATCCGATTCTTGTTTGAATCAGATACAATTTACAAAGCCTGAAGCACAGATATGGAATAACTAACAACTGAAATAAGCAAGACAGCTGTAGACAAAAAAAGAAAAATAACAGAAGAGTCAGACTAACAAATAAGCTAATTATTATTATTATTATTATTATTATTATTGTTATTATTATTATTATTATTATTATTATTATTATTATTATTATTATTATGTTGTTGTTGTTGTTCTAGGTTTATAAGTAATTCCGTAAATGTAAGTCATCACTTTATGTTCTTCAATCATTCAAGTCCCAAACCATAAACTCCAATAAATTTAAATTTATATTGTTTATTAAAGAAAAAACATAAACTAAAAGCCTAATAGAGTATATAATTATAATTTTAATAGTCGTTGATAAAGAAAAACTCTGAAATACCTAAGTTGGGTGCTTGAGGCTGATAAAGCAGACGGCGGTAGACACAGTCTTTAGTGTAATCAATGGCGGATAGCGGTACATGGTGGTTTGGCAAACGGCGGCCTATGGCGTCGCTATGACCGCCATCCTTCACAAATTTTGCATGGCTGATTGTCAAAAATCCGCCACTCTATACTGCCATGGCCGCCATTTGATAACACTGACGGTCTTACAGCGGAAGGAAAGGTGAGGTGATCAAGATCGATGAGAGGCTGTTTAATTTCTCCCTCAGTTGTCTTTAGTCTTTTCTGTTCTGACCAGTCTTGATGATGGCTGTTTTTTCTTCATTTCTTTGTTTTAAATTTTAAATATATTCTAAAAACTTAATAGTGCTAGGCATCGCATTCAGCTTCCAGCCGCTGAGGGGCGCTTAATAATCGCTGGGGAGAATTTTTTGGCTGACCAGCATAAATAATAGGTGTTCTTGTTGAGCCTATGCAGCCACCTAGGGTGACTTTTAGTACATTGCTAATTGCTAATATTTGGCAGTGGCTATAAACTTGTACTTCTTGCACAATGATTTTAACTGTTGCTTTTTCTACTGTAGAGGAAGGCCTTACGAAGCGTGGATTTGAGGTTACTAGACTGAACACATATACCACGGTATGACGCTTCTCTTGGATTGTAACATGCCATATGGTTGTATAGTTGAACATTGTTGGTGGCCACAACTCTATCAGCACACTTAAGATTGGTAGGATATACAGTATCTAAGGCACAGGAATACAGTTTGTCATGGTTTCCGTTATTAAGAAAAAAGTGGTGCGTGCAACCCATTTATGTTTGTTATTTTAGAGACCTTGAGTTTGTGCATCGCAAACTATAATAAGATAGCGTACTGAATTTTATTATAAGCTTATCTTAGTTTGTTATCTATGAGCCCTGTACATTAATCCGATGCATCCATTCATCTGAGACCATAAGAGTGACACGTAGTTTGAAATTCAATTGGGTCTATGTTTCATGTAATGTGATTTAGAGATTTATTTTTTCTTTAAAAAAAGAAAGAAACTTCAGAAAAGGGAGAAATGTGGTGTGGAGGTCCCTGTGTATGCCTATGGTCGTTTCAACCTGCTATGACCATCCAAGTGGGTTATTTGTTAGGCTTAAAAGGAAGCCCTTGGTAATATGAACCTGTTGGCAGAATATTCTATTATCATTTTAAAGGGGTTGGTTGATTGCAAGCATCAGTAAACATGGGATTGTGCATTTACCAGTTCAAAAGTTGAAATGTGAGATCTCTAGTGGAGTATGTGGACGCGTAATATATGTTTGTTTATGGCATCGTTTGGTGAACATGCATTCAGGTCTTCGGCAACTAAATAATGGTTCCACTTTATTTAGTTGTTGAACCAGAAGTTTGTTTGAGTGTTTTTTTTCTTCCTACACAGGAACTTGTCAGCCATGTGGATTAAATTGTTTTAGAACAAGCACTTTTAGCTCCTGTTATCGCTGTAGCATCTCCTTCTGCGATTCGGTAAAACTGTTAACTTGTTATAGTTATGTGTGCTCGTCTTTTTTACGAAACAATTTGCTGAATCTTCTTGTGCATTACTTTAAATATTATAATTGCTTATAGCTTTAAGTTACCCTCAACATTAGGAACCGTGTTCTGTTTCTTTTTCTTGTTTTATCAGTCAGCTGCCTTTTACTTGTTCATGTTGGGGATGCCTCGGGTAGGCATTAACTCAACTTAAAGGTTGGCGGTTTTTTTTAATATATATATTATTAATTTTGTCTGCCCTCTTTGTTTTTGTTTCCTGCTTGTATCAGTGCATGGGTGACCTTATTACCAGAACCACAACGGTGGGATAATGCTGTTGCATGTATAGGGGAGACAACTGCATTGGCAGCTAAAAAACTGGGATTAAGGAATGTGTATTTTCCAAAAAATCCGGGCATTGAAGGGTATATGTCTTTTCTCTTGAAGAGCAATGTCTTCTAAACTCTCTCAAATCGTATGTGTGCTTCAATAAGCATTTCCCAAATTGAAGTCTCTTTCTATCTACTTTTATTTTCCCATGGTCAAAGTACCTTCAAATTAAAAACAATTCATGGGTTTATTCCATGGGGGCATTTTATTTATCATATTTCTCCTATGATGAGAAATGCCTGGAGTCGGGAAGAACATGTTTTATTTGTCCACATTATTTTCAAATCATCATATCATATACATATTATATATCTCCTTCATACTATGATAAAGCAATATCTTCACTAAATACATATACAATAAATTTACAAAATACATCTTATCATATTTTTGGGATGAAACGCTTCATTGACTGCTTAGCTTCCTATCCTTCCGATTGACCAGACTATGTTCCTTCTGTAAATTTTCTCTAATACATTTCGATAATATCAAATGAAGCTGCATTATTCTCTTGTAACGAATTCATCTGTGCTTATGCATAGTGATATCTATATGTCAGATGAATCAAATCGTATTTCACTTTTTCTCCCCCTTTCTCTTCCATTTCTTTCTATCAGGTGGGTTAATAGCATATTGGAAGCCTTACAAGTCCAAAACCAATTACAGAAGGTTTGAAGGTTGAACATTTACACAAACCCGCGTTTGATCTGTGAATGAAACTCTGGAATGACCTTGCTTGTTCCGCTGCGTATATGTTGCTGGCTTTAGAGGGTAAATTTTTTTCCCTATATGAAGTATAAGCTTTTGGAGGCGAGACTGGAATCGGAAGGTAAGCGCGAAGATAAACCATGTATATCTATATAGTTTTTTGTATGTATGGGATTGTAGAAAAATACTTGACGGTAATGTCCTGGTGCAACTAATGACATTTAGTATGTTAACTGTAAATATTTCATCTTGTTTTAAACTTTGAGTTGGTGATTTTTGTTGGAATCTGCTTTCTGTTTAATTGGATTTTCATTGTCAATTTGTTGTTTGAAGATGATGGGAGTATATGGTTTTAAGGGTGGCCGGTCTGGAAATCCATGGTATGGCTGGGGGAGACTGTAGGTTATGAGTTCCCTACAAAGGGGAACCATGTCTTGGATCTTTAGTATTGTCTTACTTATTACCAATGTGGCAGAATATTGTCACCCATATTTGCTACTGGAATTTAGTTTCGGTTGTAATTAGATGCTCTCTCTCTTTCCTTAACCTTTTCTTTTGGATTTTTTTTTATTTACTTTTGTATTATATTACTCGATTATACATTATATATTATATATTAAAAAAACACGGTTGTCTAACCGATAGGTCTACCAAACAACAATCTTACTCGAAAATTAAACTACATAATGTACAATGCCTATTATGTCTTCAAGCCCACAGTTGTGCTGTTATTTTGATTCTGTAACTGTCCAATACAGTTTAGGTTACATTCTGGAAATGTTCACCATGGGTTTTGTGGCATGTAACTGTGGCTACTAAATTCACCTGCCTAAACAAGCTATTTTAAATGTTGTTACTGTGTTGCAAGAAAATGCTGCTATCTTGTGCGCAGTCTAAGGAGCGTAGGCTAGTACTTGTTCGTATAATATACAAGAAAACACTATTTGCGGGACATGTTCGATACTCAGGCTCAACCTACTTGTTCGCATAATATACAAGA